ATCTTCTGATTCCAGATGCACCTGGTTTGATCTTAATTTAGTCGGCTGGCGGGGCTTTTTTCCACGTATACGAGTGTCCTCTTTTCTCAAAAATGAACTGGGACACTTGGTGGCGGAAATGTATACCGTGTACACGTGTCGATCAACACACACACACACGAGAGAGTCGAGTGAGATGAGTGGACAAGTACGAAACCGGCATGCTAGAATACGTGTTGCAGAGGTAGCGGATGTGGAATCGTATACAGGCGGACAAGTAGAGAGGGATCCAACCGGGTATATCGACCTTTGTGGCTCACGGTGAACGTGTGGAAACCGTTTGTATAAAATTTCTAATCGCAAAGTTCGTGCTATTGTTAGAGTACCGCGCGCAGAGCACACGGATCAGGAAATAAAATGGCTGTGCACGAGGCATCGGCGGCGTGAGAATTCTCATGGGGAGAAACAATTTGTCGGAAGGTGGAAAAAGGACTCCCGCAGGGTTCTGAGAAATCGTCTTAGAAACAATCGCTGTAATTACCCCGCCCGATAACAGGCGACGAATGGGTAGACATACTGAATTAATCATGTACAGTCTGCGCGAGTTTATTTTTGATCGATCAAAGAGACGAAATAATTCTGGAACGATTCTGGGTGTCCTAGACTTTCCGCATCGATTGTTTTTATCCGCATACCAGAGCGGAAGCTCGACTAGCAATTAATTTGACCGAACTGCTGATGCCGCGCGCTGGCAAGAACGAGCATGTCGAGACGAGAGGACGAGGAAAGCAAAGTGGAAGAAGGGTACGGTTTAGCAAGGGAGTAATTAGCGAGTCTCTTGGTTCTCGTGCTACCTACAGCGGAAATTCAACCGAAAGCTTTGCAGGAACAAAAACGTCTTGTTCAATGATGCATACAGTAGATAAGGTTTTACATACCTTTACGGACATTTTAAACCGTGACAGACACTTGAAACTTCTAGAAACGTGATAGTGTAATAATAACTTCTATTTTTTTTATTTATCTGAATATGAAACTTTTTGCTAACCATGGTTCAAGGACTCGATCGTAAATGGATAACGAAATTCCGAGCCAATAGAAAGTTGTTCCAACTTGTAGAAAATCATTCCCTTTTGTTATCATCTTAGATATATTACCATGATAAGATAACATTCAAAAATTCTTCGAGCTTGTTACGAACAATTGTCTCTTTTCAGATGAAGACTATGCCCATGTATGTATACCGATAGGGTCGTAATATCCGTGATGCGAAACGAGCCGAAGGAAGTTAGGTTGAACGACACAACGTTCATTCAGACTATCTGTCCGAGCGCGTTGCACTTGGTACTCGTACGTCCCTGATCGAACCCGATCTATATGTACCGCTCTAAAAATATTTGTACGTGACAAGATATAAACGCAAGTAAGGAATTCTAATGCCTAAAAACTGGGAGTGTTTTCAGCTCGTTACAATTTTTCGTATAGTCGCAACCATATACCGAACACTTAACCTTTGAAAAATATTAGAACAGTGATAAACTGGTAAAGGCCAAGGGAACGAAGGCGACGAAGGACAAAAGCGACCAAAGGAAGGATCAGAACGGGCCTGCGCCGTCTGACCGACACGTATAAATAAAGAGTCGGATAGCTGCAGCGTTGCCGGATCTTCGTAATATTGATCGACGAAGCCGACATCGTCGCCAGCCGGGGGTCACGCGGCGAAACGTGGCAACGCTGGCCCTTTCCCAGCTGATCGAGCTCTACTCACGTCTGCTCGACGCTCGACCGTGTCTCTCCGTTTCTTCGGGTTCTCTCGCTTCCGCCAGCGGTAGCTTCTCTCTTTCTCTTTTGTAACTAGCAACCGGCACTTATCGCCCTGCCTCGAACCGCAGGCAGGCAGGCAGGCAGGCCTTTCCTTTCTTACATCGGCCCGCTCGACCGTTCCGTTTCAACTCTAATACGAAGCAACAACGTATGCTTCCTTCCATTCGTTAACTATACACAGTTGCAAACGATATTATGCAATAAAGAAAGGCATTACTTGACGAATACATGTCGCGCAAGAATAAAACAAAAACCGAGTTATGTGTGGCTAACGCGCGCTTCCATACCCTTTAGCGATTCTTTTCTACTCCATTTTGCTTTCATCGCGATAAAAATGATTTTATGCCAATTTTATACCTGAGTCTCCCACCTCTCTCACCATCGTCGAGCAAAAACGAACGCACTGTCCTTTAAAATAGCTACCCGTCTCTTTCTCTCGCTCTCGCTCTTCCCACCGTTGTTACTACCCGTCTGGCATATTTGACCCTCTAAAAACCGTGTGCCAACGGTATTATGTAACCACATAGCTGAATTCGCAGACTACGGTTTTCTTTACTGTTACTTCACGATTGAAAAGCCGATCTTTCCATAAACTCGTAAATACTTGGAAAATGATTGTATACGTGATAAAATGTCTCGTACAAAAATTTCAACTTTTCCAATCGTAATTTTGAAGTAATCACGGAGGACTTTGTGCCTTCGCACTGATATCTGCGTGTTTTTCGCTTTCGTGATAAACGCGATCTATAAAAGTTTGGTAAATACTATCAATCTACTCAGGACATTTCCTTTCTACGGGTTCTTTCTTCCATTTTGTTTATCAGCGCCGTTACGTAACACCGGTTAGTCGATAATTCCGCGTTCATTTTTCATTCATGTTTCCGTCCTGTTGAATTATTAATACGGTACGATCCAAGGATCAAATGTCACGTTTAGCCGAGAGAAAAATAACGTGTTTTCTAATCGTCCCGCTATCGTAATAACGTAATCAATATTTTTCCACACGATTACAGACGCGGAAAAATCTAAAGGAAAATGGAAGGAATTACACGTTCCAGCTGGTGGAATAATATACAGAGATGCAGCCTGTAGACTGTTAGACGGAAGAAAATTAGGACAGGGAACCAGATGATGATTCTACCCTTGCACAGTTGCCTCCCTTGGCCATGACCGACAAGAAGATAGAGGGAGAGAGAGAGAGAGAAGCCTTCGCATAACCTATAGAAGTTTAGCAATCAAGGTCAAATACAATCTCGTTACGAGTGTGCACGCAAATCAAGTTTCGAAACAAATTACGAAAACGATCTAGCCAGGCGTCGCTCAAATTGCACAATCCCGTTAATTCTGAATCGAGCATAGGGCATAATTCAATCAGCTATTTGCCAAACTCGTTTCACTCTATATACGTATGGACAACGCGATAAAACAGACAGAGGCACGATAAAGTAATCGTTGTTTTGCGAACTTATTAAATCCAGTTTACGAGACACGACGCGCGACCAAGTGAAATTTGATGTCGAAACGAAAAAAGAAAAATGGCGGAAGAGTAAGAGGCGGGAATTGAATGTGCGCAGCGTAGCGAGGCTTATCAAGCGTATCTGTAAGCGTAACTGGAGAATAACATGGAGCAGCAGTTTCAAGAATTTATTTATCGTTCCTGCGAACACATAGACAACGTAACCGCCCAACTTTCGAATACGTTATTAATGTCATTTCCAACGATCGAATTTATTTGTCCGAAACTTTTCTTTCCGTGTATGGTGGTCGAATACGTTTGAATTTCGTATTTCGTGTAATTTTACAATTACCGCTACTATACGTTACATGAAAATCTTTGCCGACATTCGTGTCTCGTCCCCTCTAATAGTACGAGACTACAGGCAATTTGAATCTCTTTGATATTCATAGGAGCGAAGAATACATTTAATAGAGACTCGGTTGTAAACACAGCATTGGCATGCGATCGTTCAAAGCCTGGCTGAAGACTGCTCTTTAACTACTAAATTACACCATACCTCCTCTCACTTTGCTTGCTTTTCTTCTTCACATGACGTAGAAAATTCGCTCTTATAGATCGTGCCCTATTCAAAATTGAACGTCAGATATATTGCCAAGGTCAGACTGTTATACCCATACACGTGGACAGTTTAAACAAGTGATTTACAAGTGTACCGTAGTTTCATTACGATAACGATATTCGTGTATTTTGCTTTACGCTCTAGACGAGATTAATTTTCTTGATATCAAGCTAGAAATCTTAACGGCCGTGTTTACCAGACGTCTGTCGAATTTGACATTTCCAGTATGAATGACGTCTACTTGTTTACAGTAAATACATTAGTTGAAGCAATTTTTCACGTGTTTCGATCAATCCGCAAACAGATGTTGCAAATATGCGTACGAAAAGACTGTAACATTTCGCTAAGGTACTTGGCTAAAGTAATTGAAGTAGATAATAGAAAAAGTAGAGAAACTTTGACGTGGTAACACGTGCTATTACTTGTACAACCGCAGGTTACGTAAACATAAAAAAACGACAGTAATTCGCAGAAGAAAAAAGTTTAGTTTTTAACAAGAATGTCAACGCTGTAAAGATCTGAAAGTCACCCCTGTTTTATAAATAAGCACTACCTTTCTTCCATTATAGAATGGCAGACCCATTATGCGTTCAGTCACCACGACCTTCTATTAAAGGAGTAAATATTTCTCTCGAAATATTCTTCTGCCGAATTACTTTCGCTTCATGTTTTGCGTATCCTCTTAGCCGAGGCATAATTATCGCGCAGACACGCTTTCGAACGCTCCTTGTAATTGTGAAAACAATAATTATACCGTCTATAGTCACGTTTTTGTGCGCAGTGAAAACATAAGACCACAAAGGTATGCCAGATCGGTGCCAGACGATAACAGAATGATTTCAAGTGAAACTAATAACATCAACCGTGTATTATAATCCGACGTTAAAAAAAAAAGAAAAGAAAATTCCTTACAACCAAGGAAGAAAAATCGCTTCGCGTCACATTTGACTTGCGAAATGCGTTAATTTCCGTGCTTCCCGGAAACGAGTGTCAGAATCACATTTAATCGTGACTTCGTAGGCAGA